TCCCGAAACATCCTGCAGCGCAGAAAAAAGGGACGTAGACAGCCTCAGCACCAAACTCTGATGCCCGGAACTCGATCTGAAAGAAGCTCAAAGGACCGGCAGAATGAGTGCACACAGATTCGGAAAGAGGGCTGTGACGTGTAGGGCATTAGTTTTCTGCGAATACGCTTCTCAAACCTGACATGCACCCCTAAGAACTTCAACCCACAGAGTGAAACCCCCGGAAGTCTCCAACCATCTCGAACCGCAAACGATTTCTGAAATGCCTCAGTACTAAGCTACACTTGATGTTTGTACTGTTAAGTACCGTCGTTGCTAGGCCCCGTAGGATTTCGGTGGGCCAGAATCGCCTCCCTCAATAGCAATCCCGCCACCAACCCCTTCACCTTCATGTTGCACACCCCCCCTAAAATCAAAGATGCCCCTCAACATCAATAAAGGAGCGTTTGACATTTGCTGTAAGCTGGTGGGTCCTGAGTCCTTACCGATCATCCAGGGGATAGGTTTCGGACTTTTGCATAATCCCTAGATCCTAGAGAGTGCGGTGGATACCGCAAATCCTGCATGACCTTCGTATACTGTAGCAGCATACTTCCCAAGGCTTGGGGTGCCTGAGGTTGTCGAATTTTGGGTATTAACCGCACGCACACCCTAAACCCTAAACCCTACCTGAACCCCCAAAGTAAGTAAAATGATGGCCCAAAACCCCTAAATATAGCCCAAAAGGCCATTACTCTACATACTTTGGGGGTCCAGGTAGGCCCTAAACCCCAAAACCCTGAACCCTAAACCCTATAATCCTAAACCCTAAACCCTCAAGAGGCTTCATTATTGCGGGCCCCATCCTGGCCTTCCTTTTCGGGGCAGCGGTCGCGGACGTCGTGGCCTGCGGGGCTTCTGAGGAACTCTGGTTGGATAGGCGTTGGGGGTTAGGGGGTTAGGGGGTTTGGGGTTTAGGGGTTTAGGTTTAGGGCTCTAAACCCCTAGAATAAGTCCTGTCTAGGGCTTGTTGTTCAGGGCTCGATGGTGAGGTTTTTGGATTGGAAGGGGGACTGATGAAAGGATTAATTATTGCTGCATACACACGGGGTATATGACCTCATATTCAGCCAAACTGACATGGAACACCAAAAGTGACCACCAAAAACCAATGTCCTTTGAAAACAAGGCTGCATGGGGTTCCGTTGTCCATTTGTACTTGGCCACTTCTTGAGATAGCTTTCTCAGCTGGCACTTCATCATAGTTATGCATTTCCCGACTGATGGTTCACAAGGGAACGTGTTCGTAAATGCGTACTTTGGGAGGGTTTCTCCGAAGTTCCACCCAGTGTCTTCGCGACGGGAAACTGGGGTAGCTTCAAGCCGTCAGTCATACGCAGATACCCCATATGTATCCTTATAAGCCCTGTTAAAACCTGATCTTTGTATCCTTAGGGTTAGATGTCAGTACAGAGGTTCGAACCCATGCGCCGCATGTCTTTTGACAGGGAAGCGGAGTTGTAGAGGATATAGGTGTTTGGGTTATAGGAGAACCCCCTTATAGACCCGAAATACTATAATTCTGTTTATGGGGACTCCCAAAATGATACCCCTAATTTGGGGACATCCTTTTTTGTCCTTCTGTCTATGGAAGTTTCACAGGAAAGTCCCCATATCATCCTTGAAGGGCACTCTTTGTACATCCTCATCATGCCCATGTATACTCAGGCTAGCCCCTTCCTTTGAGATGTTGACCCTTGTTCATTTGAGCTATAGTCTAAACTCCTTAAAGCGGGACAGTATATGTAGGGGGGTTACATAGGGGAGTATTACAGGGCTTATTAAGGGTGATGCTAGGCCCTAAACCCTGGACCCTAAACCCTAAACCCCTAAACCCTAAACCCCAGACCCTAAACCCCTAGAACCCTTAACCCTAAACTATAGCTCATTTCAGGAATGGATGACCTACCCCCTCCTCAACATGTCGGGCCAAGCGCTGACGTCCCATAACCTTGGCAGCTTCACGCACGACGACTTACCGCAGGCCTTCCACGAAAAGGGGTTTAGGCCTTTGGGGTGTAGGGCTTCCGGGATTTAGGGTTTAGGCTTTAGGCGTTTAGGGTTTAGGGTTTAGGGGTTCTGGGGTTTAGGTGTTGAGGGGTCTAGATGAATGGGGATGAACATGCTATCGGCTCCATACATGAGGGGATCTTTTTTCGTAGAGTCAGGATCACGTTTTCCTGGGGCATATATGAGCTATAGTCTAAACTCCTAGTATCCCCCCTAGTAACCCCTAAAATACTCCACTACATAACTCCCTTCAAGGAGGTTAGATTATACAGAGACGAACCCGGCTATTGCAAATCAGGTGGAGCGTAGTTTGCAGCAGGGTGCCGCAAGTCCAAGAGCAAACGCGTTGTTGCGCAGGTGTTTCTAGACGTAGGCAGCGCCTGGGGCAATCCTAAGTCGGGTAAAGTTGGGCGGAAGGTGCCTTGGACTTGGTTATAGTTACCCTAAGGGTCCAAGGACCCAAATGATAGGGGTTTAGGGCCCAAATACCATTAATAGTATAGTATTTGGGCCCTCAAACCCTATTATTTGGGTCCTTGGACCCTTAGGGAGTTACATCTATCCTAGTGACAGCCCCGTTTGTGATTTCCGGCGTTGCGTCCAGCAACGAAAATTCCAGGCTCACTGGGGTTGTGCTGCAGGTCATCTTGCACAGAGCCTCCACCTTCCCTTTACCACTACTACCCCCAGAAGACCTAAACCCCAAACCCTAAAATGGATCCTTAGGGTTTTTTAAGGGGTCTACGTAGAGGTGTTGGCCTTCGCACCCGACCTTCGCTTCTACTGGCCTGCTTGGCTTCCCGCACCACGGCTTCACACAGATCTGGGGTTCAGGGTGTAGGGATTTGAGTTTGGGTTTTGACTTTCTGGTTTACAAGGTCTAGTTCACCTTATGCACCCTAGTCATACAGCAAGAATTACACAAGATTTGGGGCCCGAGGTGGAGAAAGATTTCCATCCGTAGCGAAGGTTTTAGCATGTTCTAGGTTTTCGGTCTTTTCAAGAAGTCATTTCTGTAGGTAAACAATGATATGGCGTGTGTCTCATGATTTGCATTTTGACGTGTTTGCCAGAAAGTGATAGTTGAGAGCCACTATTGGGGGGCTGAAATGATTGCCAACATTATGGGTTCTAGATTTCTTGTATACCTGTGCTATAGAGCCCGCTCAAATGAACCCTCAAATGATATTGTACTGATGTGAGGCATCCGTATTACACTGGCCAGCCCTTCCGAATAAATGCAACTTTAGGCTCCAACCCATTGGCGTGTCAGGATGCTTTCAGCCATGGTTTTTGGGTTGGGGGCTTGGGGTTTAGGATTAAGGGTTTAAGGTTGAGGGTTTAGAGTTTAGCGTTAATTGTTTAGGGTTGAGGACTTAGGGTTAAGGGCGTAGGATTCAGGATTGTTCCCTGTTCACAAAGCTCTGCTGGATCACCTTTTGAGCGTTTGGCGCACAAGCCATGATAAGTGGAAGGCCTGATTGTAAAAGATTTCGAGTGGCCATTGCTTGGGCACGGTTTCATTTTATGGTTTCCCAAAATTGGGGTGCACCTATATGACCCCAGCATACTGCAATCCTTAGTATATGGACCCCCAAAAGGTACGCCCAATTCTTGGACAACCCCCCAATTTGTCGTACTAATAATAAACGCTAACCCCTAGACCCCAAACCGTGTCCTCAAAAATATAAGAGACCAAGAGACCCAGGCCGCGGCATGTTTGCGGCTTGATAATCTCATCCCCGTATAACAAACCATCCCATCTGGGTTATTCTCAAAATTATGGGCCCCTTTTGGTTGCACATTATATTACGGCACCTAGTATCTAGGGGTACCAAAACAGGACCGTAATTCTGGGAACTCCCCATGTACTATAGGGGGAGGTGATTAGTTCTGCGCCTTGCGATTCCTCCTTGAGGAACTGCATGAGCAGAGTATATATAGGCTTTTAAGCCAAGGGTTCTGTTTAGCTAGGAAGGTTTAGGGTTAAGGGTTTTTAGGGTTGGTTTCTACGCCAATTGGTTAAGGATTACGGGCTTCTTCCACAGAATGCAGGTACGTACTGTAGCTAAGCTATCAAGCATGCATGATAGCCAGGGCTGATTTCGAGCATGCATGACAGCCAGGGGGCTCAGCTGTAGCAGTACATACTTCGCAGAAGTTTGCATTGAAACGTGTTTCTATTCTTTTGTGAGCCCACAGTGTAGGAACCTGCGGAACGCCATTGTCCTCTTTTCAAGGTAAGAAATTAAGGGTTACATGGGGAGTATACAGGGGTCATTGAAAACAGAACCCTAAACCCTAAGCAGGGACGGCACAGACACAAGTTGCGCCGTTTCTCTCTACAGTGCGTCTGATGCTAGTCTAAGGACGATGTGGCTTTGCTACGACTTCTAACTGAGAATCAGGAGTACCTTTAAAGGGGGTTATACGGGTTGCATAGGGATCTACAGGGTTTATATAGGGTTTATATAGGGTTTAGCGTTTCCCAAAATTAGTGGTACCATTACAGATTATCGTTTTCTTCTGCGCCCATGGGCAAGATTGATACGTCCGATCGGGTGGGGTCGTAGTCGGGCAATAAATCGAAAGTCATGAGCAGACATTAGACCTCACAAACCTCTAAGTAGTCCCAATGATAACCGCATGAGCTACTGACTAAATTCAGGTTGGGGGGGACCTATAGGGGAGTATATGGGGTTTTGGGGGGGGACCTATTAAGGGAGATGCTACAAATTTAGTCCAGGGCTCACATGAGCAGGGGAATTCGAGCAAAGCTTGGTAGATGCCTTTTTGTCCCAAATCTGTGCGGGTACTACTTGAAGGTTCATAGGATTTAGTAGCTACGTATGACTGGGCTATAACCCATCTTATAACCGCCTAACTGGCGCAATTATAAGTATGGGGCTCGAATTCCAGTTGCTAAGTCCCATGAACCTTTCATGCTGAAGGTGCTGGCGGGCTTCCTCAGCTTTCGCATTGCCGAGGCCCCAAGGTTTTGAAGTTATTTGGGGGTTTCCACGGACTAAGGTTTAGGGTTGAGGGTTTAGGGTTAACACGGGCCCGATATAGACCCTGATGAAGTCTCATCCTTATGAAAGGGGACTCCCAAATAGAAGCCCCTCATTTTGGAGTGTAGTGCCGACGTTCAGCAGTTCGAATGCAATGCATATCCCTTGGCTCTAAACCCTCGACCCCGAAGCCGATGCCTGAAGATTGGGCGCCAAACTCTGTGAACATCCTGGTGGCTGTTGGTAGACCTAGAGGGTTCAAGTACCCAAATATTAGGGCTTCAGGTCCCAAATACCTTTCAGCTTTTTGTATTTTGGGCCTAAAACTTCATTATTTGGGCAATTGGACCCTTAGGGAGAGGGGTGGGGAGTCAAAAGGGCAAGCAAAGGAAAACGACGCGAAAACTAGGACTCTAGGAATATGCAGGTTGCTGGTTGTTAGTAGGGAATCAGTAGAGACTGAATGGATGACAATCAGATCTACTTTTCACTTTGGACCTGAGCTGAAAATACAATGGAAACTGACGCATTGGTGAGGTTCACATAGGGATTGCTTGCTGTTGAGATCCATTCCTCCATTCCCCTTGTTGTCTCATATCGTCTTGCTTCTCAGAACTTTCACTTGAATGGACGTACTCTCCAAGCAAGGCAAACTGGTGGCATGCATGCGTTGTTTAAGTCCGCAAGAAGACACGTATCTTTTTTGGGGTTTGGTGAGGAGGTTCCTGAATTGCCTTGGAGCCTTGCGCTGCGAATCCTGGCGGTTGGGGGATGTAAGCGACCCCACAAGACACAGCCCTGCCGTTCAGAAAACCTTCCTGAAGAAGCCCTGGAACCCGCCTGCAAAGCCGGAGAAAACTTCTGAAACAACGGCCTTCGGCTTTTCCCTCAACCGTGGAAAACTCCAACCCAAAGCTTCGCCAACGACGCGGGAACAGATTCAACTGCGTAAAGCCGTCTCAAGCGCTGTAAATGGACCACCTAGCGCTTCCATAGCTTCCCAACCTCCTTTTCAACACGATCAAGCCCTCTGGACTCTTATGAGCCATAGTTTAAACGCATTAAGTGGGATTATATAGTCAATCCTCATACGAAGGTACGGAATTTTCAGAAATATCCGTGTGCTATATATCTACCCAACAAGCCGGGCTTCCTGCACCATGTTCGAAGCCCAAATTATGGGGATGCAAAATCAGCCCAAGTATAGGAGTTATGAAAGGATGGGCCCGCAAGTTCCGGCAGGTCTGCAAGCCCCTGTAAGGCCATAGGGAAGAAAACAAGGTAGGGTTTGAGTTAGCATAGGAACAGCAAGCTGAGCAAGTGTGCATGTTTGTGGTCAAAGCTGGTGCCGCAACACGATAATGGCACGATAGCCGAGAAGACAATGTTGATCGCACAAAGCCGGGTTTGGCAAGACGTTTCCCCCTTGCTGCGCAGCCTAAGTGTTGTCTGCGAGGACCTAAGGCCAACCTGGTTGGTCTTCACTAGGGTTACTTTACTCACGCGCTGGGCGATTGAAGTCCTACTGCCCTTCAGAACATTCCAGTACTAAGAAGTACTTGAAGCTGCATCTCGTGCTTGGAGCTTGTACAAGGATAATGAGGAAGAGAAAACGGATAATGTTCTACAGGACCCAGGATTAACTGGAGGTGTTCTTCCACCCCACATCCGCATGGAGGTATGGGGCCCTAGGGATGTATGGGGGCTGTATTGTGCAGTGAACTATTTTGGTCCCTCTGAGGAACTGATTGATTTTTTGAAAGCCTCTCGCATCACTGAGAAAAGAACTGTCCCATGTTAAGGCTTGGCTTCAATCGAGACATAGGATGTGAGTTGATGACGGGCGTGGAGACCTACAATCTGCAAGGCGCAAAGATGCCCTACAAACCTCTTAGGGAAGGAGAAGCGACAGTGTTCCTTGCTGACAAACTCTACTGCGAGCCCTAAGCCCTGAACCCTAAACCCTCCTCTTATGCCAGACAATGAGCCCCAACTTTTATGTCTTTCCCTATGCCCTAACCCTAATTCCTAAACCCTCTCAGGTAGCGCAGACCACAAAACATTGAGCCCTGAATCTTCGTTCCTAAACCCAGCTGGACACTGTGGAGCCCAGCTTTTTGAGTTTGTAAATAGGTTGGAAAGGGAGTTATAGGTAGGCCAATCCCAGTTGGCAAAGTATATGACCTAGGACCTAGCTATGAAGTTCCCTGATCCATCAGGCGAACCCCAAACCCTAAACCCTGTGTAAGCCATGAAGGCCTGGCTGTCCTCTTTTCATCAGCTTCACGTGGCAGCGTTAGTGTTGCTTGCCTAGGACATGTGTGGTCATCAGTGTACCCTGGTGCCCTGGGGATACTAGGCAGCTTCCATTAACAGGGGGCCCCAATATATCATAACCCCTATATTATTGGAACTTCACAAGAGGACTCCTAGTCCATGGAAGCCCTCATGTGCGGCCTATGCGGGGATGGTCTTAAGGATTCAGAGGCTAGATTGGAAGGACTTCCCACTCCCGCAGTGGCCCCTACATCTAGGCTGAGCAGACAAGTGTGAGGCTTTCATGCTTCGGGTTTTGGTTTGAGGGTTGAGGATTTAGGGTATGGTGCCAGGAGGGTAAGGCGGGTAAGGGTATGGTTTCGGCCGGTTAGGATTAGGTTTACATGTATTGTGACCTAGATGTTGTGTTGTGCTCTGGGGTATTCTACATTGTGGATGTCTGACATCTGTCAGAAAGTTGGACCTAGCCCGCATGCTTCAAGTTTCTTTCGTAGCATTTGAGCTTAATCTGTACCTCGAGCTCAATCGAAGGTCCAAAAAACATCTGTTCATTTTTGTCAAAAGGCAAAATAGTTAGAAACAGCTGCTGTTCTGAATACTATTGTGGTTTCCAGTACCCAGGTTTAAGGCCTAGGGTGACCGCCGCGGCAGAGGCCAGCTCAAGCACCCCCTAAACTAACAGTCCAAAGGGTTTAGGGTTTAGGGTTTAGGGGAGTCCAAACTCCAATCCCTATAAATCCCTATACGATGTTACGATGTACCGTACCCCAAAACCCTACTGCAAGTATTGAGGCCCCTATATATAATCACTCTAAGAACCCTGGCATAGACCCGCTGACACTTCATGGTCCTATCTCCTTTTCCACTTGATTCTCCAACTCAATACCTGGACCCGAACCCAAAATGCCTAAACCTTAAATTCCCAACCCTAGACCCCAAACCTGAAACCCCAAACCCACAAACCAAAACCCTAACACCTAAATCAAAAAACCCTTAAAACCCCAATCCCTACGCCCCCAGGTGACTTACAAAAAGCTTTGAAACCTAAATCCCCTGCCCGTAACTCTGAACCCCTAAGACACAAGGTTCAGCTGGTGCTTCCCGGACACAGATGACGTCGCTGGCCTGAGAGTGTTTGGGACCACGTGGCTGCAGGCGCCAGCTAATCTAGCTTTCTTGGGGGCTGGGGGAGATACTTTAAACCCTAAACCCTAAACCCCCTTGGGAGCGGCGAGGTTGTACTTAGTATGTGGGTTTTGGCAGGGGCTAGGCTCCAGTCTAGGGATGTTTGTTTCAGGCCTTTTGATTTAGGGCTCTTAGGGTTTAGGGGTGTGGGGTTAAGGCTTAGAGCCTGGGATATAATCACTCCCCCCAGTCACCCCCCCACCCCCTACTAATTACCTCTCCCCCAAATTAGTGCCATGATGTTTTAGGTTGAACATTTGTCATTGGGGGGCAGGTGAGGGGGAAGGATGTTGTTAGCCAAATGACGCTATCGTCTCCGTTTTGTTTTCCATTGCCTTATGTATCCACGTACTAAACCCCAAACCCGGAACCGAAAACCCTAAAGCCCTAAACCCTGAACCCTAAACCCTAAGCTTTAAAACCTACACCCTAAACCCTAAATGGCAGCAGGTTGTATCCTCGCATTTGGGGTCCGCTACCTGCGCCGCACTGCGGAGCGCTTGGGTGGCGGGGGAAGCTCACAGTGCCACTTTTCAGAACTATGCGGGCAAAAGTGAAAAGTCCTTTAAGGGGGTTGATAGGGTCTAGGGTTTAGGGTTTAGGCTTTAGGGTCTAAACTCCTTACAGAGGGTAGGTTGTTTTTTCGGGGACTACTATAGGGCTTATTAAGGTGGATACTTGGAGTTTAGACTATAGCTCATGTAGGGGTTGGAAGGGGGTATACAGAAAGAGAGATTTTTTTTTAAGGGTTTGGGGCTATCATGGCCCCTGTGAAAATGTGATACTGAGCTGCAATGGCTGGGTTTCAAAGCAGCGTTATCGTACCCTAAACCCTAAACCCTAAAGCCTGAACTGTACACTTTCTGTGAAGAAAGCCCTCAGCCCTGCTCATCAAAGAACTTGGAGGACAAACGCGTCGCCCTAACTGAACCGCAACCTAAACTCCTTACAGGGGGTCATATAGGAGATAATATAGGGTTTAGGTTCAGGGTTTGGGGTCTAAACTCCTTAAAGGGGGGTGGGGGAATATATAGGGGATTCTTATGGGGCTTATGCAGGGGGATCCTAGGAGTCTGGACTATGGCTCAACTGGCTACTGGATAGTGGGCATGCAAGGAGGGGGTCCTTTCATAGTGGCTAGAGTGCTCTAAACCCTCAACCCTAAACCCCTTCAGAGCATTAATCTAGGGGAACTGGGGGTTGTTTTAGGGTTTAGGGAGTACACTTCCATGCAAGGGGATCCTAACCAAACAGGAAACCTATGTCATGGCCATTTTTTTACAACTACCAACCGTCGCCACAAGCGGACGGATTGAAGGCCAGTAGAATTGAACATTAACCTAGAGGGTTCAAGTACCCAATTATTGGGATTTTAGGTCCCAAACACCATTCAGATTATAGTATTTGGGGCCTAAAACCCCATTATGTGGGTACTTGGACCCTTAGGGTAAGTGCAGCAACTAGCCTGGTCATTCACTTTAGACCTTCGTCATGAATCTACTTCAAGGTTTATGGGGCTTGCGCCCTCTCAGAAATTGGTATTTACTCTACTTCTTGGGGCATTGCAAGCTCATTGACCAGTCAACTTATAGTTGTCGTTATATTTCGTTATTGCTTCAGATTCGCTGTTGTTGATAAGCTTGCACTTGTTCCTGGTTATCATTATACCCATGAGCCTGTATGTACAGATTGGCGAAGACTTCCACAAGCATGCCTTTTGGCTCCGGGCTGTGCTTTCCCTCAAGGTCTGGGGCAGGGTTTGAGGTCCGCAATGGGAAAGCAAATTGAGTTGAGACTGTTGTGCCTTACATCCTTGAAAGAGGGTTTTGATGGAACTAGGTGTTGGTGTTCAGGGAAGTCCGGATGTTTCCGGTTGTAGTTTCTCTGGGTATGCTATGCCTGCTTGGCCGCCCTAACCCTAAACCCGTTTCCGTTTTCTTTTCCATGATACCTGTAATCTAGACTCCTACTATTGTATCCGGCTCCAAAACTACATTGGAAGCTCGAGATGCGAACTAAGCTGATCTCTGGAATGAGGTAAAGGAGGAGCACGAGAAAGGAAGGGGTGGTACTACTGTTGATGAGGAATCTTGCGCCACCTTAAGTCCTTTAGGGTTTAAATCCAAATTATACAGTACTTCGGTGCCTTCGGCGGTGCAAGATTTTCTCCATCAACAGTAGCAAAAGTGCAAGTCCCCAGTGTCACCAGACTCCAGAACAATGCGAAGGAAACAAGCTCAAGTCAAGTCCCGTGCCCCAACCTTACTGAATGTTATGTCCCAAACACCATTCAGATTATTAGGTGCCTAAAACCCCGTTATTTGGGTACTTGAACCCTTAGGGTTCCCTCATTCCCTACCTAACCACCAGCAAGCAACTAGGCAACTAGGATGGCGTAAGCTTCAAGGAATGAGCCTGAATATTCAGCCCCAACAGCACTCCCTGCAAACACAACTCACCTAATCCCAATGTGGGTATTAGGCTTTAGGCTTTAGGGCTTAGGCTTTAGGCTTCAGGGCTTGGGGCTTAGGGCTTAAGGTTTGGGGTTTAGGACTTAGGGTTTACCCTAAACCCTAAACCCGGGTATGACATGAGTCTAAGGCTGTGGCGTTTCTTCTGTGCGGTGGGTTTTCAGAGGTGACCATGGGCGCAGCACCCTTCGTGGAGGCACCAACCAAGAATTTAGGTTTCAGGGTTTAGGGTTGTCCAGGTTTGGGATTCAGAAGATAACGCCCTGCGGCTGAAGCTCTATAGTCCCCCTAAAGTAGATAGAATATGGGGTATATGGGTATCTTATTAGAAGATACCCGAAGCCATATTCTATCTACTTAAGGGCGACTACAGGCCTAAGCTCAGGGTTGACAATCGAAAATGGTGGAATTATCCTTGCGTTTACAGGTCTTAGGGTCTGTGAAGCCGCTACGAACTCTCCAAGCTATTCTTCAAACACCTCATGCGTGCTCCTGCAGTGAAGCCGTACCTGCCCACATGTGTTTCCCCTGAATGGCCCTAATTCCTGACTTTCAGGGCACGCCATGCCATACAACCCTTTGAGCCCACCCTAAGCCCTACAACCCTCTTAAGCCCCAAACCCACACGGCCATTTCCAGAAATACGGGGACCCTAATCTAGAAGTTGAAATATTATAAGCTATAGATTAGGGTTTAGGGGACTCCCAGAAAAGCCCCCAATTGCTGGAAACCCCCAAAACTCTAAACTCTATGTAAGCCCTATAGATCCCTATATAGTCCGTATAACTACAAAGACCCTAAGCCTAGGCTCCTCGTATCCCCCTTAATATGCCCTGTAGTAGTCCTTTAGATAATCTCCCTACCCCCATTTAAGGAGTTTAGACCCCAAACCCAAAACCCCAAACCCTAAACGCTGAACCCCAAACCCTAAACCCCAAACCCCAAATCCTAAACCCTAAACCCTAAACCCCAAACCCTAAACCCCAGATCCTAAACCCCAAACCCTAAAGCTTGGAGGTGTTTCTCCAGGATGGAGATTTCCGGCCTGCTGCCTTCCGCACACGAAGGAAGCTGGAGGGCTCCCCTGCCTTCCTTCAGCGCTTCCTAGGCGTTGTGGGGGTTTAGGGTTGAGGGTATGGGGTTCAGGGTTGGGGTTTAGGGTTGATGGTTTAGGGTTTGGGGTTTAGGGTTGATGGTTTGGGGCGTGGGGTCTAGGGTTAATGGTGTGGGGGTTAGGGTTTGGTTTGGGGTTTTGGGTTTGGGGTTTAGGGCTTAGGGTTTGGTAGCAAGTTGGTTCTGCTTACCCCAACCTCCAAAAACGGGCCCCTATTATTAACAGTTATTACTATCATAGGATGACAACAGGATCCTTAACTTGAGGGGTGTGATTGTTGCGTTAGTGGTTAAGGGCTTAAGCGAGAAGCGATGTTTAAAAGTGCTACCTCTGTACAGCAGCCCTCCCAAAAAAGAAAGCACCACCTCAAAGCCCACTAAGCCCCAAGCGCATCCTACACCCTACACCACACATCCGTACTTATCTTGCTATACCTGCAAAAGAATGATGCGTGTAGCCTCCAGCAAGCTAACATTAAAGCTGAAATATGTCTAAGCTACTGCGCTTTCAAACTGAAATAGGCTGATTTAGTTGGGGCAGAGAAACACCTAGACCGGAAACCCTTGTTATCCCTACGCCTCCCTACACACCCCTTTGCGGCCCCTTGAAATACACGTTTTAGGGTCATAGCTTCCCCTTGAAATATGGGTGGTTGTCAGAATTATGGTCCCTTTTTGGGTACCCTAAAGATTAGGTGCCGTATTATAATAGGGACCCCAAAAGGGACACTAAACCCTAAACCCTAAACCCCATATAGCTTCTGTTCGTTCTTTGAAGCTTTGCAGGCCTTGGTGCATTCCTGGAGGCTGCTGGGGCCATGACTGCGGCGGCATGGGCCTTCCTTGCATCCTGCCCTGCATTAGGGGTAGGGGGTAGGAATATGTATAGGGGTGTATATATATACACATATATATGGTCATATATATATATATGTGGGAAAGCCCTAAGCCCTAAACCCTAAAATATCATCAGGTTTCAGGCCTTAGGGATTTAGTAGCAAGTTTTGTCTTCCGTGGTATGGTATGTCTCCATGACGTTATTTGGAGCTTAGCTGTTGTGGGCTTTGGGGCGTAGTGTTTGCAATTTCAGACACGGAGTTTTGAGAGTGTTTGAGTTGGATTTCTGGAGGTTGGGCTTGAGGCTTTGGGATGTATGGGCAAAAGGGGGGCCCACTATGCAATCAACGGTGACATGTAGTCCTACATGTAAGGGTCCAAGTACCCAAATAACGGGGGTTTAGGCACCAAATACTATAATCTGAATGGTGTTTGGGACCTAAAGCCTTATTATTTGGGTCCTTGGACCCTCTAGGGAATAAAACCCCTATATAATCCCTATATAATATATTCCCTTATTCCCTGCTAGCCCTAAACCCTACTAGCCCGAATATTTGGACACTTGGACCCTCTAGGTTAAAGATCCTGGCACCATCTGCGCAACTAGGGAGCTGGATGGTAAGACCGGAGCAGCAGATCGTGAGGACCTGTGCCAACGGTTTAGGGTTTAGGGGTTTGGAGTTTAGGGTTTGGGGTTTAGGGTTTGGGGTTAGGGTTTCGGGTTCGCGTGAGGGGACCCCAATATAGAGACCCCTCATTATCGAAAATCTCCAGACGGTAGTTTCCAAGATTAGGGGGACCCCAATCTGGGCCCCAATACACTGAAAATTCTAATTATGGGGACCCCCAACAATCCCTTATTTTGGGAAACACCCATATTTCGCAGACGATCCTTCAGTACTGGCATTTGCTGAAATAGAAGACAATATCCATGGCTCGCCGAAAGCTTGGAAAGACATGTGTCCGGTATGCCCATGTATGTGTGTGTTTTCCCCTTGCGAGCTCCCAAAGTTATCGAGCTGAGGGTGCTGATGTTGGGGCTGCTTCCAAGATCTGATTCTCACAGCGATATGATAGACGCAAAAGCCCAAACCCAAACAAAGGTGGGAACGCGCAACTCAAAGCTCTAAATCCCAACCCTTTTAACTTCCTTCGTCCTTACGAACCGTGACGTGCGGTCTTTTCTGGGTTTTGCTTTCAACTGGGTTGCTGTTAAGGAACTTAAATTAAGTTACCATAATGGGTATATATAGTAAATAATAGGGTTTCCCCAATATGGTAGCTTAAAGTTCCTGAACAGCAACCCAGTCAATCATGCTAACCAGCACTTCGTAAGTAGCTTCAGGTTTACACCTCGTTGGCATTGGGTTCTCTGCCTGCCCCTAAGCCCTGGTAGTCCCCTAGGTGGTGGTCTTCTGTTTGGAGAGCCAGCATCACAGAAGCTCGACGCAGTTCGGGTCAGAGCTTGAGCAGTGGATTCAGGGTTCTAGGTGTGGGGGGTTCAAAAAGGTGCAATTTCCTGGGTAATTGCAGCATTTCGGCTCTATAGAGGGTACTTGCGGTCAAGGAAGGCTTTCGGGTTTTTAAGGTTTACGGTTCTACTGTGTTGCCATTAAAGAACTTCAGTTAAGTTACCAGAAACCGTATTGTTTATCATAAGCCCATGTTATGGTAACTTAGTTTAAGTTCCTGAACAGCAACCCCGTATAGGGGCAGTTTAGGGTTGAGGGTATAGGGTACTTGGGACCATGCAAATAATCCTAGAATACAGTAGCTTGCAGCACATACGTCAATTACGAGTTTCAACGCGCTAAGCCCTGAACCCAGAGGTGTGTGGTCCAGCTGCAAGTCCCCAAATTTCAGGGTTTTGTATACATACTAAAAGCCATTCAGAGGATAGAATTCGGGACCTACGGCCTCATAATTTGGGTAAGTGGAGTCTTATGGCTGGGGGGGAGTTTAGCCTTTTTTTTTGAGAGTGTTGCCTTGAATCCGAAACCCAAAATGCTAAACCCGTGGTCCGCCCAAACAGCTGACAAAACAGGGAAGAAAGCCGCTGATGAACAAAATTGCAAACCCTAAGCCCTGAACACTACGCCCTAAATCTAGAGTTGCCGTCTGTTAAGTCCATGAGGTCCACAAAGGGCAAAAGACGAGAAAACCTCTAACCTTAAACCCTACATCGTAAACCCTAAGTCCTAAACCCTAGACCCTAAATCCTAAGCCTTAAACCCTAACCCTAAACCCTAAGCCTTGTGCTTTTTCAACTACAGGAAGCCCAAGCTCGTCAGCCTTGGCGTTTGAAGGCGAACAAATCCTAGCCTAGAGGGTCCATGTACCCAAATAAAACCATAATCTGAATGATATTTGGGACCTAAAGCCCTAATATTTAGGTACTTGGACCGTGGACCCTTAGGGAATCCTACCGGAAGGCTTGATAAACAAAATCGTAATGACTCTGTGTACCGCAAGCTTACTGAAGTCGAGTAGGGAATGAGGGAAAAGAATATAGGGTCAAGGTTTAGGGTTGATTAAACAAAACTGTGATGACTCCGTGTGCCTCAACCCTACCGGGAGTTAGTAGGGAATAAGGGAATATGATTTGGGGTTTAGGGTTTTAGGTTTAGGGTTACTAGGGAATACGATAACGGAATATATTATTCAGGGATTGTATTCCCTTCCGTCCCTACTGAACCTTAACAGCTAATTATCTAGTCGCGATTTCGGCTTGGACCTCCCAAGTGCCATCTATAGAGGTTGGACCTATCCTGCTTTCGGTTGATCGGACGGTCCTGGGGGGTATGGGCGCTATTCGCAAACTCAGAACTCAGCGTTGGTCTTTGAATTCTGTGCTACAAGAGGGAATTTGTTCAAGGGCCCCAAAATAATTGGCTTGCTGTTAAGGAACCTAAGTTGAATTGCCATAATATGGGTATATAGCAAATGATAAGGTTCCTTTATCATGGTACCTTAGTTGAAGTCCGTAACCGAGGCTTCCCATGGCCTCTCTGGGGCCCCAGTTAAGGCTTGCCAAGGTCCCCTGAAGTCTGCCAATGTGAGGTTCCCTTACATATCTGCCTCACCCAAAGTAGAAAGTGTAGTAAAACACGATACAGCATAGTTCGATACAGTGGCGTAGCTTTAGAGAAACTCCCGTATGCACATGTCCAAAAAATGGTCCCCCTTAGATGCCACCCAACGCCATATTCCTGATTTCATGGGGCCTGTTTTTAATTCACTTGTCGTGGCTAAGGTGATGCCGGAGCTTATGTTGCAGTCTCAGATGCATCATGTACCAGGGCGATGTCCACTTCAAGATTCATGGGACTGAGTAAGGGGCTACGCTTTGCCTCAGGCGTGGGTAGGGTCGTAACCTCGTGATGCGTTCACTGACATGAGGGGATGAGGGGAGGGCGTGTTTTGACAGAACATGCTTTTTTTTCCCGAAGCAGTGTCGATTCCCACATCCACAGTAGCTCTCCTGTTAGTTGCACGCAACCGCTGGCGGAGACAATTGGGAAGGGAATGTTCGGAATCTTATTTCACTGCGCACTCTCCCTTTAAAGCGCTTTTCACCCCCCCCCCAGCCTGACCTGAAGAATCCCGCAAGTCTCCACTTGGGCACCTCTTCCTTTTTTTGACGAAACTTATCAGGGCTTGCCCAAGATTTCATGGCACATGTTGGTGGCCCAGCGTACAGCCCAAGCTGTAACCATAAGCTGCAAACGCTCTGCAAACCCTACCAGGGATTTGAAATAACTCATTCGTTATTTCCCCAAATCATTCTGCCTCCATGACACCCTTGCGGCACGCATAGTCCTTGTTTAATGCTGGGCCCCAGACCCTCAGCCCTAAACCCTAAACCCCAAATCCTAAACCTCACACCCTAAACCCTAAGCCCCAAACCCTAAACCCTAAATCAACTTTGTAGTTTCCATGTCCTTCTCCATGCCCCGAATTTCCACCCTAGCAAGTTTTCAAAACAGATTTTCGGATTTTACGTGCTATATACCCCCATCAAGTACCTAAAGCTGATTTGTGTGAGAATTCGAGGTTTGATTCAGAGTCTCTACCTGGACGGCGTTAAGTTCATCACCTCAGTTGATGTTATAGAGGTTTTCTGGAGATCTATTGGAGGGTTTGCACAGAAAGTGTGTTCAGATCATATATGTAGGGTCTCGGGTGCAGACGGCATGGAGCCAAACATGCAGCAGTACAAAGCACCCAGTGGCAAGGATGAAGTCCATGGGCATAGGTTTAGGGTGTAGGGTTTCATGAAGGATTGGCTGCAGCACTGGAAATCTGAAGCGCAACATGGGAGCTTGGCACAGGCGTACCAATGCGACGGTCAGGAAAGGGCTTGGGGTTTAAATCCACCAGGCCAAGCGTGCAAACCACAAGACTTCGAGGGCCTCTTCTGTCTGGTTCTTGGCAACAGCTGCGCCAGCGTGGCTTTGGCCAGGGGAACATGTTTGGCTCACCGGAACGCTCGTATGAAACCAAACCCCCAACTCCCAAACTGTATTTCAACCGCTGCTAGCAAGTCCAGGATTTTTTTTGGGGATTTGAAGCTGGCACTATAATCTACCAACGATCCCCCTGATTGGCCCTGTGTTGGTTGCCCAGTTTGCAAATAGGTTGGAGCTCCGGTTAGACGTAGGTATTAAGTAGGTCCCATGAACCTTCAAATAAGGAGTCACAGTCATACAAGCAGCTGTATAACCCCAGTGTCTATGTAATTCTCAATCTGCTTTTCTGCTGGTTCTCTATTCTACAGCATTTTCTGATTATTGTTGGTAAACCCTAAACCCTAAATCCAGTGTTGGTAAGCACTTGAGCTCTAGTCTAAACTCCTAGTATCCCCCTTAATTTGCCGTATAGCACTCCCCTGTATAATCCCCTATATAACCTTGTTAAGGAGTTTAGACTAGACCCTAAACCCTAAACCTTACATACAGGGGTTTCATAATCCGATATACAACCCCGTTCAAGGAGCTAAGACCCTAAACCCCAAGCCCTAAACTCTATACCCCAAATGCTAACTCCAAACCCTGGACCCTAAACCAAAAAAAACTCTAAACCCTAAACCAAAAAAAACTCTAAACCCTAAACCCTAAACCCGAAACCTAAAAAACCTTTAAACCCTAAACCCTAAACTCTAAACCCTAAACCCTAAACTCTAAACCCTAAACCCTAAACTCTAAACCCTAAAACCTAAACTTTAAACCCTATATCTAATTTGGGATCCCAAGTCAGAGTCAGGTTGAGAGTGGAACTGTCTTGGCTGCGCTGTCGGGCCTGATGGCGATGGCCTTGGCCAAGGCATTTTAGGGATTGGGGTTTAGGGTTTAGGGATTGGAGTTTAGGGATTAGGGATTGGGGTTTAGGGTTT